CTTGAAGAAGGGACTTTCTCCAGTGGAAATGCAGGAGCCGTTCTGTATCTCAAAATCACCCCACTGACTGCTTAGGGCAAGAGGTGAAAAATAATTACCTTAAAGGCTAGGGAAGACTGGAATAAGAAAGAATATAATTTTCATGGATCTAGAATATGGAATGAGCAGAATTAGAGTAGACACCTTGTATGAGAAGCCCTATGAGATCAGTGACGACTGGGAGGAGCAAGACCTCCTTAATCCTCATCCGAAAGACGTCAAGCAGAGTACATTTTCCCATGGTACCATTCTGACATTTGGGGTCAATCCTTTCTCCAAGAGAAAATAAAAAAGTCACTTGCATAAATGCGACTTCAGTAGCACCTTGACAGTCCCTGGAAGTCATCCAAGTGAATGTCAATTGAATGTGGCTAAGTCACCTTGTAAGACGTTCATGGTGCAGGGTTGCTCCAAGATGCCTTTGTGACGAGGTGCTAAGTCTCCATAGCTAAGTCTCAGTGCTGGTGAGGAGCGGGGCTGCTGGACGTGGGTGATTCTCCTGTCACAGAAGGGGCTCCATGGCCTAAGAACATGGCTTCGGAGACACACACAGTCTAGGTTTATTCTCAACCCCTCATTTTGGAAGTTAAGTTACTTAACTTTTCTGAGACTTAGTTTCCTCATCTATGAAATGGGGATGACCAGACCTTCTTCATACAGGTTGTGTAAGGATTAAATGAGATAGGGCTGTTTTAAACACCTGATGGTTATGATGTATTTATTGTCTTGCTTCACTTACCCCTCCCATCCTATCCCCCGTTAACAGCCCACACCAAATTCTGGGATTTTTTTCAGAACTTCCCTTGAAAAGTGTGCATGATCCCTGACACTATTTTCCCTCCATAGATTTTGCACAACAGTAAGGAGAATTAAAGTGATTCAACTCATTTCTGAGTTGCCTTCACCCTAACAGTCAGTTACCCACAGGGTGTTATATTACCAAATGTCTGTAAAAATAATAATATATAATACATAATATGTGATATATAATGTATGATTCCATCTATCTATCCCCTGGCTTCTTAATGATAGCAAAATTGTCAGCTTCATTTGTCACTGCAGTTTCCTCATGTCCAAAATATCAGCTTTTGCTCCTCTTCTGAAGAAATCTTCTCTCTCCGTGACTATGAAATTTTTAAGAGTATTTTATAGGAAGGACCATTTCCCCCTTCGTCATACTCCTTTCTATGAGTTTCCCTACAGAATAATTCCCAGGGGTTACTTCTGAAACTTACATGTGTAGATGAATCTTATTAAACATATTAGCTTTCCTCTGAAAAGATATCTTTATCTATAGTGACATTCTTCAGATAACAGTTATAACATAGGTAGCACTTACATACAATTGACATCGGATCCCTACGTTCCGCATTCCTCTCTTAGATGAGGCTGTTACAAGGCCATATCGGAGAGATCAAACATGGCCTCATGGGCCACTGCAAAGCATTGGCTTTTTCTCTGAGAGAAATGGGAAGCCAATGGTGAGTTGTGAGCACATGAGACACCTGATCCGACTTAGTTGTGGTGATAGTGCTCTGGCTGCTCTATGTGAGTAGACCATACCAGAGTAAAGGCAGAAAAACGAGAGCAGTTGCAAAAGAGATGGTGGGGATGTGGACCAGGAGGGTAGAGGGAGCGATGGCGACATGTTCAGATTCTGGGCACATTTTCAAAGTTGAACCAAAAAGCCGTCCCGACAGGCTGAATGTGTAGTGTGAGATGAAGCCAGTCAAGGGTGACTGCTGGGTTTTTGGCCTGAGCAAATGAATGGAGTGCATTCCCGTCAGTGGAGAGAGGGAAGGGTGTTGGGACAGTTGGCTTATGGTGGTCCAGGAGGGGTTTAGTTTGTTTACCTATTAAATCTCCAGGTGGAGACGGCAAACAGGCAATTAGATATGTATTTGTGGACTTCAGGAGTCCGGCCTGATATGTGCCCCTTAAGATTTGTAAGAGGCTTAGAGCAATGTCAGCCTCCTAGTAAGAAACTGAGCAATGGTCACAATTAACACAGTTCCTTCTACTTCTTTGACTTTCTTGTTAGTCAAATTGTTTACTATAACTATAAGGGTCGAATACTGCCTACTCTATGTATTGACACCCTGAGCCAGCACATAAAGAACTGTACAAAGTAATCCTTTCTTACTTTTCAGGTTCATCACGGCCCAGCCCCCATGCTACCCTTTGGTGGGAAACTCCACATTTCTTTAAAGTTTATTTATTTTTGAGAGGCAGAGAAAGTGTGCGTGAGTAGGGGAGGGGCGGGGAGAGAGGGAGAGAGAGAATCCCAAGCAGGTGCTGTGCTGTTAGCACAGGCCTGACATGGGGCTCAATCCCACAAACCATGAGATCATGACCTGAGCTGGAATCGAGAGTCGAATGCTTAACCAACCGAGCCACCCAGACGCCCCATATTCCCTGTTTTTTCAAGTGCGTTTTTGGGGGAGGGAACTAAATTTCAAAATAAAGATTTAAAAAGTGCTTTATGTGCTGCAGTCAGTGTAATTCTGAAAAACGTCCTTTGAGCACAAAATGTTTAGCAGTAGAAGTCACACAGAATGATGGTTAAGATAAGTGATTCTAGCACCGAAATGAATGTTACATTTCAACACGTCACCTTGAATCAGTCTCTAATCTCTCACATCCCAGTTTCCTCATCTGTAAAATGGAGACCAGTGGAATTACAGAGAATATGAAATGGGGTAACAAATATAAAGTGCTTAGCACAATGTCAGACACACAGTAAATTCCTAAAATTTTCAGCTGTTATGATGATAAGCAATTTTATTCTTTTGTTTTCAATGGGAACTAATGTGAAAGAGTTTCCTATGGCTTTTCACTTACTACAGGCTTTCCATTGAATATCCATCTTGGTACATCATTTAAAATTTAGGAAACTTGGTCTCAAGACATTAGGCCAAAAAAAGGATTAAGACATTAGGAACAGATACTATTTGTATGTAATTCTAAAACTCCCCAAGGGGCACCTGGGTGACTTAGTTGTCCCACTCTTACTTTGGGCTTCAGTCATTATCTCATGATAACGGGGTTCATTAGTTTGAGCCCTGTGTCTGGCTCTGTGCTGCCAGTGCACAGCCTGCTAGGGATTCTCTTTTTCTCTCCCCCTCCCTCAAAATAAATAAATAAACTTTGGAAAAAAAACAAAAACAATAACAAAAAAAGACATTAGGAGCAGAAATGAGTCTGAGCCAACGTGGTACTGGCCCCTGCATCCTTTGCTTGTCTCCACCCAGTAATTAACACACTGAAGGAACCGACTCGAAGGAAACACACTAAACTTATCTCTTCCTTCTGATGTTATTTTAATTGTGCATATTTTGTTTTTAAGCATGGTTCTTTGGGGGAAAACAGAATGTGTCTACTATAGAAAAACACATATTCTTTTAGGCAAGTAATTTTGGAAGCAAAAGATGGTCTCTAGGGTAAGAAGATGGAAAAGGAATAGTATTAGTAGAAGAAAGCACAGAGCTAATGTACGTTTTATAATGTAAAAGAAAGATATTTTAGCCTCCATGCCTAAAACAACACCGTGAACTCTAAGTTATGCTGAATTGTTGAAGAGAAGGAAAAGGAAGCAGCTATAATATGACTGCTCAGAGTGAAAGTCAATAGTCAGTGCCTAGGGAGCATCCCAAGACAGCCGAAAACTCTCGCACTCATGACACACAAGAGGCTTAATTGGTCCTCCTATGGTTTGGAAGAAAGGCCTTGAGAATATTTCTGACCTCTTAGAAGCAGATTTATAGACATATAACCATGCTTTAAACGTTGCATCCTGGAATTGCCAAGGTAATAGAATATCCATGGATAAAAGCCTAATAAGACAATGATCATCTGATAAATCCCATGCTACCCCAGGCCAATTTGGGATCTCAATCACTTCCATAATCTACACCCTTAATACCCTTCATGCTATGTCTAATGCGGTGCATTTTTCCCTTACATTTTTTCTATACTGCCTCCTGGTAGAATCAATTCTTCCTCTCTCCCTTCCCTCCCTCCCTCCCTCCCTTCCTTCTTTCCTTCCTTCCTTCCTTCCTTCCTTCCTTCCTTCCTTCCTTCCTTCCTTCCTTCCTTCCTTCCTTTCTTCCTTTTGTATTTCTCCAGGTGTTTGAATCTCTACCATGGTATTTGGGGGGGGGGGATTAACCTAATGCACCCTTTTTACTTATTATAATCTAAATTTCTTGAGATAATCTACTCTTGCTCTGGACTCTGCTCTCCTGTCTGTAACCTATGTTTATCTTACCTACCTCTCCTTTCCCATTCATTTACATAGTCTTACATCATAAGGCAGTGTTGTTCTTACTATGATCTCTAAAGAAATGAGAAGATACCCATAAAGATTATCACAAAATAATAAATTCTATTTAAAAATAGGTACACCAGAACACAAATAAATATCTGTAGGAGTTTTGCCCCTTTTTTGAAAGAAGCAATGACATTCACAAAGGCTTTGGAGTTAATTTTGGAACCACTTTATGATCTTCATAAGAAAATCACCCTATTGCCTTACCTTCATGTTTTACCCAGATTAGTATTACTCACCTAATTCACCAGACTGATGCCAAATTCCCTATGGTAGTTTCCAGGGCTCAGAGCCATCCCACTACTATGAAGGCTTTCCAGAAGAATAGGGAACGTATCCTGAAGACCATTCTGAAGGACAATCACAAAACTGTATTTGAGTAATGGTGGCATAATTAAAATGTCTATAGTTCCCAAGCACTGTAGAAGGGAAACCCCCTTTTAGGTAAGGATTAAGTTCCCTTGTTTCCAGTAACAAATTGAACTTGGTATTTTATAGTCATATCGTAAGAGCAGACTCAAAAGTTCTGTTACTTTAATTATGTTCCCGCAGACAGTGTACTTAGACCTTTTACTCTGTATGTGTGGAAAATATGCTCTTGATAATAACAGAGTGTCTGTCTTACTGTCTCTAGGACGATACTTGATAAGAAGGAACTCCTGGAGTTTGCTCAACTTGGCTGTTACTTGGAATATGATCTCTTTGGGACCGAACTCCTTCATTACCAATTCAACCCGGATATCGACATGCCCAATGATAATAAAAGAATTCGGAGGTAAATACAATGAAATCTCTGATAGTGTTCCCTTTTACCAGTCCTTTTTGAGTCATATCTGGGTAGGTATCAGCAAAGATTTGGAAAACAGCAAGCAGGCGGAACCAGAGACTTGCAGAAAAAAATGTATCAATGCTGTTTTGGGGAGAAAAATCTCTCTATATTATTTCAAGAAGCAAATGAGTCATCCTAAGTAGGCAAAAGCTTAGCAGAGCCTTAGAAGTTCAGTGCAGATGGGCAGCTGACAAGAAACAGATAATACTTAACCCCTGCCATGACAGTAAGAGAACAAAGACGCTTTCTTCTTTATATCCCTAACGAAGTCAGCTGTTTCCCATGTTGCCCCCACTGAAGTCCTAGCCTCCTACAATGTCTTTGTGAAGTAATTCTAAAAAATATTCACTATGGAGATGATTGAAACTTAAATGCTATAAGTAGAATGTCTAAAGACCAAACATCGTATAAAATTCAACCCCTCAAAATTGTCTAAGCAACAAATTGTCTGAGTCATGCTCTATAACCCAAGTGGAAAATTTCTGGAGTCAAGGATGGATGACCATCCGCCTCTTGATTTCGGTTACTTGGTTTGCCTCGGTTACGTGGTGATGTGAACACTGAATGCAACAAGTTAGGGAGTCTGGGAGGAGAAAGATTTGGGATTGACAAGAATGACTTTGGTTTGGGAATAATCTTAAGAGTTGCTATCCAGTAGGGCCGTGGATAAGGCCATTCAGCTCGGGGCAGAGATCTGGACTCAGACATAAATCTATGCATCTTGGGTTTGTATGTCATGGTCGGCTGCGTGGGAATGAATGAGATCACTCAGAGGAGAGAATGAGGACGGAACTCTGGGGAACACTGATATTTAAGGAATGGACTCAGGAACAGTTGCTCAAGGACAGATTGAAAAGTTTTCTAAGTGAGAAGAATATCAGGGAAATATGTTGCTGTGGAAGTTGGTGCAGGAGAATGTTTGAAGCAGAAGGGCTTGGACACCTGACAGGTGGCAGGCATTAAGTGAGGTAAAGGCTGAAAAGGTCCACTGGATGTCACAGCCTGGAGATTGTCATTGTGCAGGGAAGTCTCTGTAGAAAAGGCTTGAGGAATGAGTAGGGGTAAGGAAGAGGAGAGAGAATGTAGAGGTTACTCTTTCAAGAAGCTTGGTAGTCAGGAGAAGCAGGGGTGCAGGACCAAAGAGAGAAGAAAAAATAGGATCAAGGGACAGTTTTGTTAAGAGTCCAGCAATGTTTGGGGCACCTGGGTGGCTCAGTCGGTTGACCATCCGCCTCTTGACTTCGGTTCAGGTCATGATCCGAGAGTCGTGGGATGGAGCCCTTTGTCGGGTTCCACTCAGAGTGTGGACCCTGCTTAAGAGTCTTTCTGTCTCTCCCTCTGCCCCTCGTCCCCATTGACTCTCTCTAAAACCAAAGAAGGGTTGAGCAATGTTTATGTGGCTGAGAGCAAAAGCAGAGACACAGAGAGAACAAATCGCAGGAAGCAGTACCTATTCTACAGGGCTATGGAACGTATATGAAATAAAGTATGCAGAGTTTTTTTGTGAGTGTCTGGTGCAGAATATAATAATAGTCAATCGACACTAACTTAAAACAATCTGGAGAGAAGAGATATAGAGCAAGGCTTGTAAGGAGACAAACAGATGGCATCTGGGAAGGAAACAGAAAGTTAGTTGAAAGGTGTAAGGCGAGTACAGGGTGGACGCAGATAGATATTGTGATGAGAATGGGAAACTGAGGACATATGGCCACATGAGTTCTGTAGGGTCGCTGTGAAGTGAACATTGTTATCTTCTGAGAAGGAGGGAATAGATTCAGGGCAAGACCCTGCAGAAGAGGAGAAAGGCTGGGAATGGATGCTGAGTGACTGAGAGAGATACTGATAAGACACGGTGTGTGTGAGACCCAGGTGAGGCTTGAGATCATGTCTGCACAACTGTACGTGGGCACCAGTGCACATGATTTGGTGATTATTCCCCCCCCTCAAAAGTTTCATATTTTGACAGTAAGACCAAAGAAGCTTTGAGGAGAAGCTGAAAATGTGAACAGTTATAGAGACTGAGGGTTGAGATTCTGTCTGGAAAATATGGCTGACAGGGGAACCGGGGTAGGGTTGAGTGAGGGTCATGAGGTCCAAGCTGAACAGAAGAAGGCGTAGAGAAAAGCGAGGAGAGATAGGAATAACAAAGGCTAATCGGAAACTTGAGTGAAGTGGGAATGTATATACAGAAGAAGGTGAGTGAAAAAGAGATGTGACTCGTGGTCAGGGTGGGAAAGTGAAGATGGGGATTTCAGAGAGGAGGTAGTCTCCCGCGACGGAGAAGGACCAGAACGTGGTTAAGGGTGTAGAAAACTGTTTGGGATCGAGTAAAGACACCTGACCTACAGAGGTGGTGTCCAGAAACGGAGGCTCAAGCAGCAGCAATATGACATACACCCACACGGGGGTTGAGGGGAAGATCCGGAGCCCGTGACCAGAGTGGGGATAACCCCCAGCTCTTACTGTGGGCAGTCAACCTTTACATCTGTGTGCCTTCTGCCGTCCCTGTGTATGGGTACTCCTCCTGCGTGACCTCATTAACAGCAAAATATGCTTCAAGTTTAATATCATCAGGGAGAGCTAGCTGATCCGTGTAACACTAGCTATGTAAATATGGAGATCTCAGCTGCACAGGAGCAAACTGACCTGATCAATGAAGCTAGGACTTTAATAAAAAATTTAAACCACTGAAATCGGTTCTTTGACGCACCGGTTTATTATTTCTGTTTGTTCATTTCGTGTTATGATTTTACCAAATGTGCTCAGGAGCACCATTCCGTACAGGCAGACAACTTCCCCCAGGGCCCTGTGACCTTGTGTCACACGAAGTGGTGAATATTCTTTGGGATTTAAAGTGGGGAGTAGGGCAGGGCTTTCTCATCGTTCATGATCTCAAAACCCCGATTCCCTGATGAATGCCCTCAACGTCCGTTTTACAACTCACCTTGGAAATGGGAAGTTTGCTTCTAGGACCCGCTTCCTTTTCCTCAGCCCCTTTGTGGCAGTGAGCTATATCTTTTCTATCTTCTGAAGAAACCCTATGCTGCCCATGAGGCTCCCAGACCTTGAATTAGAGAGAGAGGATCTGCAGAGGGGGGTCTACGAAGGATATATGGGCGAAGGATGACCAACACCTCTCCTCATATTCCTTCTCAATAACTTGTGGCTATTAATTCAAGAACACAAATTTAATTTGGGTCAGCCTTTCATGGAACCAAATGTAAACCTTCTAGATGTATGGAAACATATCAAAATTTATATGCGATATATGTGTGTTTCTGTGTATGTATGGATGCATGCTTTATCTTCCTTAATTTAAAATCATGCACTAAGTAACTTGACTCAAGTGCAGTTCACAGTAATTACTGAATGACCTTTAGGAAGGGGGCGTGTCCCGGTACCCCCCTGGCACGCCATCTCTTGGGCACTTGATTTTCATCATCCATTGGCAGTCCCTTTCTGAGCCTTAGTCATCTTACATCTCTGAACTGCAAGAACATAGAAGCACGCTTCTGCCTACCTCTGGTTTTCAGCACCAGAAATTCTGTGTCTAACACCTGTTTTCAATCTTATGCTCCATTTCTCAAATCTTATTATATCTCTGCCTTTTCACACTTTGTAGTCTCTCTCTAATATTTGTTTGCAAAACACTAACTCATTTGTATTTCTATAATTACTGTCATTTTTGTCTTCTCATCTACAGTGGTTCCTTCCTTCTGGCAGCATCTCTGAAACTACTGTTCTTCCATACAATGGCACAGCATGAGAGATGAGCTTTTATTTTAAGATTGGCCAAGTTATGTCTTGACAGTCAGGAAAGAACTGTTTTGTAGAGACAGAGCCGTATCTTTCTCGTGAGGTAACCAGTGTCTACAATCTTGACTTAATTGGTTCTAAGGATTCTCATTTTTAAGTGAGCGTCTTATCCACTACACTCTTTCCTTACGACTTCACAATCGAGTAACTCTGTTTCAGGGTGCGGCACAAGGCCGCTTACAGGAATTTGTTTTTCCATACAATATGCCTCTGTTGCAATACAGTATGGCTTTTTCTTTCCCAGACAAGGAAAAGAGACAAAAACTTTTGGGAGATGGTCAGAAAGGATAAGGGAAAGGCATACCCTGAAATTTCCCGAAAGGTGACGCTCCTTTTCAGTTTGCGGATCAAGGTTCGTCACACTGAGTTTCAGCGTGGGCATGCATTCTGTCAAGTCTTTCTCTCTTTTCATAAATGATACTAGAACTCTTCCAGGGAATTGTCTCAAAGGGAGTTCTGCAAGGAACTTCCGATCAGAGCTTTTGGACGCTGTACAGATTGATGAGGTAAATACCCGTGGTGGCTCAGACAGTATCCAAGTACTTATAGGACATGCATAGGTACACGTGACATGATTGCAGATGTCTAGACAAAAATGCTCGATGTGGCTTTTCTTAGGCACCTGCATTCCTTTGTCCTATGAACACAATATCTCATTTTCAGTTATTATTTTAAAATGTATGGTCTCAGAGGGCAGAGCTTTATGTCTGAGGTTTTTGTGGAGTGGCCCACATTTTGCTTACTTTTAGTAGTTATTAGACATGATTCACACACTAGAATGCCAAGAAATGTCACAGAAACAAAAAGGATATCTTTTGAATAATTAGCCCTTGGAGGGAGGTGCTGACCATCTAGATTCATTTGGGAATCCGGAGGTTGACATGACCATGAAGAGAACGCCAGAGAAGAGCCATTGTCCCCTCTTTGTACCTCCTGCCATCAGAGACCCATGGAAGTCACGACAGACACTGCCCAGAGTCCAGACACACACAGATGGTGGCTGTCAGGAGGTGACTCACACTATAGATTACAGCATTTAACAAAGCAAAGAGGATTAGATGTTTAGACAGTAGTTGGAAAGCCCTTCTCTAGTCAACTGGCTATAAATTTAAAGGAACGGCTTGGTATTTACAGCAGTCTTGTTGAGATGGAAGGAAGGCAGTGAAAATTTGTATTGGTTGATTTAATACAGAGCTGCAAGACTACTGCTAAGTCAGACTTCATCGACTTCAAAGGAACAGATGTTCAAAATACACAAGTACCTTTGCCGATCTTTTGAAAATGACCACTGAGCTTATCACATGCCCCTCACTTTCAGATCAACTGATTTGACTCTCAGAATGTTTTACCTTTGTGAAGATTCCTTTTGCTTCCCTGTTTCAATCGGAAATTGCCTTTGATTTTATTTGCTAGGGGAGAGAGAGAGAGAGAGAGAGAGGGAGAAAGAAAGGGATGAGGTCTGGAAAATGGGCTCACTAAGAGAGGTATTTTAGAGTGGAGAGCTGGATACAAACCTAGAACTGAGTTATTTCGTGAAATGCCCAAGTAGCCATTCACTCCGACCGGCACGTCCTATTAGAAGCTATTTTTTACTGCAGTATTGCAGGCACTGTCATAAATACCACAGGCTAGAAATTTCTGTGTGCACGGAATAAGGATCATGTTCCTACTAGGATGCAATATTATCTTTATCATCACCACACAATCTTTATTAAGGGTCTCCCAGTATACACGCCATAGTGGAAGGCAGTTATCTCTACAGCAAGCACAACAGGTTTATGAGTAAAACGTTTCAAGCACCCTGATAATTTTAAATGTGAGACGAATGCCATATAACGAGGTAACATTTTTCACAGAGTGCGTCTTCTGGTGGATGAAGGCTACGAAGATCGAATTCTGATGGCGCACGACATACACACGAAGCATCGGCTGATGAAGTATGGAGGTCACGGCTACTCTCATATACTTACCAACATCGTTCCTAAAATGTTGCTTAGAGGGATCGCCGAGAATGCACTTAATAAGATACTAATAGAGAACCCTAAGCAATGGCTAACTTTCAAGTAGGATGGTTGTTTATGAATTCACACCTTGAGTAGGAAGCTTGCAGAGAACATTTTTCAGTGATCTCAAGCCTGCTATGAGATATTAATCAGAGCTATGCAGGACGAATGACGGAGCATTTCCTCTTTATGAGAATCAGTTGCCTTCTCAGAAACCAGCTATTACATTGGTACCTTTCGGAAATTACTGACCTAATTGAGCCGTCTTGTTTTGCCTTAAAATACATACAGAAGTACCTATTTCCAAGCAGTGATTTACAGTCTGTCTCCCCTTTAGTGGAGTTTTGCTTTGTTTTGCTTTCTTAATCTATCAGCTGCACTACTTGAGGAAATTTAAAGCGTTTCTAGTTAAATTACCCCCTTCTGGAGCAATCTAATGTTTCTTGTAATATTGATGATCCTACTAATTATCCTGCTGTTCTTTAATTAATGTTTAATGAATAATATGGCACTTCTGCAGCAAGAGAAGTTAAATTTTGAGGCCTTCCCCCCCCCCACCAAAGGATACTGTAATACAATCACCAATTCACAATGGTAAAAATATTGTCGAAGCTTAATTATATATTATAGAAGCTGTCTACCTGTCTATATTTACTGGTAATAAATCAGTTTTGTTGCCTGTGGCTTACTGGTATCCATTTTTGCTGTAAAGCTTTGTTATTTTAAAACACTTGTATAAGGGGACATACACATAACATAGCACTGAACTGTAAACATTCAAGCATAAAAGTCCAAATACATTACGTAATATAGTTTAATGAATCATTACATTTATGATAACAAAGGCCACAGTTTAATTAATTGATAATATATAATGCAAAAAAAGAGAAATGTTTGCCTTATATATATTCCCTTTATTTCCCTTACCTTTTATTTGTTTTTCCTTGGGCCTAAACAGAGAAAATAATGCTTAGTTATCTGAAGAAAAGGTCAGACCTATTAGAAATGACATTCTGATTCTAGAGCCTACTCTTCAAAAGGTACCCAGCCCTGATGTTTTGTGTAAATAAAGCCTTTTTAAAACTCTTAGTGGATGTGAACTGCTGTTCATAAATTAATCTTTTGGTTGATTCCTCATTATGCTATTTGTTTCCAAAAAACCCCCCAAAAACCAAAAAAAAAAAAAAAAAAAAAATCTCCACACCCCAGCTACCAATTCCTCTTTGATAAATATATATTGTTAAATAGAAATAAATTTGTTGAAACCCCTTTATGAGTTATCTAACATATTAGAAAGGGCGCATAGAATTAGTCATCATGCCTGATGAATGGACTAGACGTTTTTGATCATAGAAATCATGACAGTGACTCTAATCAAGGCATTTAAACCAAGCAAACAGCACCTCCAGATGGGAACACCATGCATAACTCTTCTGGAAAGTTGAGGCTTACGAAACACCAGATATTTCTGAGGCTCAAAGACGATCCAGCTTTCTGTGTATTAGAACGTGAAGTGCCCAAGAGGAACCAGCCAGGGGAACAAACTAATTCCTTTAAATGAAAAAATGCAAATGTCCTTCACCAGTAAAACAAGCAGATTTTTAAATCCCTGTTTTTGAAATCTACTTGTCACAGCCTTCAAAGGCAACCGAGGAGGTGGGGGGGGGGGGGTGGGAAGGACAGATTTTTCACTGTAATACTGGAAGTTGTCTGATAGTGAGGATATATCAACATGCATTTTTAATCTTTTTCTTAGATTAAAGAGATGGCTTTTGGCAGTGTATTTTAGCCAGAGAGAAATGATTTGCACTACTCTCAGAATCTACTTTACTGTCAGCTTTAATCCACCTGAGAAAAAAGAAAAAAGTGATCATTCAAATGCATATAATTCATAGACATTGCAAAAGAGAGCCACTCCGTTTCCGCAGTCCTAATATTAACAGTCTGACACAGAATGCGGTGGGAATATTGATTGGCATATGGTAATAAAGAAGCCAGAGGCTTCATTTACAGACATGGGATGTATAGGGCATTTTAACCTAATAAAATTTAAGTTTCTGGGTAACTCTTAAAAGAGAGGTCATTTAAATTATTTTGCTACTCCATATTCTTTTTTAATCCAAAATAGATTTCAATCCAAAATAATTCAAAGAATTTATGCGTGTTTGTGTGTATATATACACATACTTTTCTAATTAAATTTTTGAGGCTATACAGCCACTGGCCTGAAGCCATATATGTATATATATATATGGCATATGTATATATATTTCAACTAACATATGTGTGTGTATGTGTGTGTACACACAAATACATGTATATGTAGCAGGTATTTGTATAAAATATATACACTTTGTGGTCATGTTGGTTATATGTGAAATTATTCCTTTTGAAATAACCTCAGGCCAGGCCTTGTAGTAACTATTTGAAGGCCTTACTTAGTGTCCCCTTGGTGACCTATGCAGTAGCTCAAATTAAACCTTTGTGCATTGGGTTTATGAATAATCTTTTGTTGCAAAGAAAGCAAAAGCCTCAGTCTGATTTAACACCAAAGAATAAATTTCTCTGACTTTCTAAGTAAATCTAAAGGCATTCTACTGACAAAATGGACACACGGGGGGTTTTCTAAATACCGTACATAATTACACATTTGCACACTTAGAGGGTAATCCTATGATACAATTTCGATCTCCGTTTTTAAAAGATCGTCACCAGAAAGGAGAGAAAAGAAAATCTGCAAGAAAAAGAAAATGTGAAACTGATCATAGGCTTGGGAATTCCCTCAAATCCAGAAAATTCCAGGTTAAGGCTTGAAGTTGAATCATTCCCAGGACTAGCTCTAAAGTTAACAAAAGTACAAGGCAAACAATTTCTTTGGGGACAAGCAGCAGTATTTCAATTAGACGCTCTCCTGCAGGGTAAAAATCATTCTCCCCACACTATGAATGGACTCCAAGTATCATAAGAAGCAGGTAAACTCACAAGAACCAAAGCTGACATCTGGATCAAAGCAGCAGGGTCAAAGTACACCAAAATATCATAGATATTGGAGAAATAATTCAGTGTCTTAGATTTTTCTATAAAAACGTGTGATCTATATAGGACTTCATTCACATGGACACTAACGATAAGAAGAATTGCTTTGGCGGTAGTGGATAACACATCTGCTTATCTTGCTTTTAATATATATATATATATTTTTACAGAATGTTTCTGAGTATACAGATGTGAGTCAGGTAGCATTTGAATTCCCCACATATACACAACTGAGGCGCCCTGCAACTGGCATCCCCTGGGATCCTTGATTCACTGACGTTGGCCACACGAATCCAGTGTCCAAACTCAGAACAATAAGCTTAGTTTCTGCCTGATCAGTCAGCGTAAATAATAAATCCAGAAAATGTGCTGTATTTGTTGTTATTTCCTCCGTGGGCTTTCCCGCCATCTAATTTGATGTACACTTCATCTCCTGGCTCCAAATGAAGAACCACACTGTTACTGGCATAATCGTAATTCTGATCGGCGTCTTGGGCAATGGCGCTGGCACGCACCTACGTGAAACAAACAAGAATTAGAAAGGGTAGAATTCTCCCGGAATTTTTTTTTTTGGCCATTCACACATCATCGTAAGCAGACTTGCTGCCACAGCACAGAATTTCTCATGGGAGTGTCCACCTGGGCCTTGGAGCTCCTCGATGATATCTTTGCAACGATGTGAATGATGTCACTGGAGAGGAGGACCAGAAAGAAGAAAGTGGTGCTTTCCTGAGGGTCATTGCAGCTGTCTTTTCTTACCCTACGTTGTAAACATTGCACACCCACCTAAACCAGCACGTTTTCTAATCCCCTGAATCTCTATGCCCCATCACTTCTTGGAATGGAAATCAGGGTAATTTCTTTGCATTTTAACTTAAGCCAACTGGCAACAGTCTAAACCAGTCTAAACCAGGGGGACAGAGGTTTAATCCAAACTTCAGTGGGTCCTCAGGATTATCAGAATACTGAGATCCACGTGCAGTTGAGACTCAGAGAAATAAAACTACTCCATCTCTACAATATAGGAAGAAAAAAAAAAGGAAGAAAGCCTTTTGATTTGAGGCTCTCAAAATCTAATTCAAGCGAAGCCTCTTTTTGCCAGAACCCTAACTCAAACATCGCTCAAATCTGCAGAGTTCATTTTTCTATTTGTGCCTTTTTATTACTTCATTCTGATGTGTGCACTTAAATACATTATTTAATTTCAACGTATCTAAAAGTTGTAGAAGGAAGTAAGATTTGAGGTCTCTAAAATTTCTAATTTTTTTTAATGATCTGATTGAATACCCTTTTGCATTTATGTGATTCTAAAATGTGTGGTTTGCTCTGAGGATGGAAGTCGCCTGTAATCCGGGCATGTTGAGCCCGTGATATGGACATTCTATTACATTCTCAACTAAAATTAGGCTTCATATTCATTTAGCCATATTTTGATTCTGCCTTGGAAAAAAATGTTTCAATAGGCGGACTTATATTTGATTTATTTCAGTAGGGCATCTTCTGCTCTATGGCTTGTTTCGCATCCATTATGATGGTATTTCCCTGAATAACAGAGCAAACGATGTAGTGGTTTTGTAAACGTGCATTATGTAATAACGCATGACGTAGGGTACCGTGTGCTGGATCTTATCACTTGGCAAAATGAGGGAAATGAGGCATATGTCAAGAATTTCCAGGTGTTTCTTTCAAAATTTAAGTGATGGGTTTTCAGATTAAGTTTTTATGGGGTACGTTCTCACATTAATGCTGAAATGTTAAAAAAAAAAAAAGGCTCTTTGATACTGTTGAAGTAATTTGAGTAGTGTTTTAAAAATTTCTTTCTCTGGATATCATATGGCAAAAGGAGAAAGGGGCTTAAAGGATTTAGAATTGGTTAACACTGGGCTGACACTAATACAGTGAGAGCAATATACCACGCAATTATGCTCAGAAGCACTGACTCTAATGTACACACTAATTCAGTGAGGCGATCTGTGTTGACCATTAAGTAATAATACAATTTAAAGTCACAATATTTCCTAGAAATTAATTGTAGGTTAGTAGGAGTTGAATGCTTTGATTCATTAATTTTATCTAGTCATTAATTCCCTGGGGGGAGGGGAATCTATGAGGAGGATAGTGCTGTTACTACCTCATGTTTTTTTTTTAACGTGTGAATTTCTAATGGGTTAGAAAAATTAAAATACAAAATAGTAATTAGCTGTATCAGTAATATACTAATAAAGTCACAATCCATAAATATGCTTTTCAGCTATTATTCATAACCAGACATATTTAGTGCTTTAGGTGTTTAATATATGCTCTATGGGCATTGTGCTTTAACACTGTTTTCTATAGAAAGGCATCTGGGAACCAGAACTCATTAAAATCCCTTGATTTAGAGACAATAGTCTTAAATGCAGTTTTCATTCTATAGGGTATAAGCACAAAACCGTGTACATGTGACCATTTTTATTCTGTGGATACAACCACGAAAACCTGTGAATGCATCCCACAGACTAGAAGGTTCCCCTTACGGTTTTTTACTTCCTTTGTCTTGTGAATGCTTTTTAATAAAAGTGATTCTTGTAAGATATTAAGCTATACTGTAGACTGCAAGACGTTTCCAATTAAATAATTGCCATCCTCTGGCGCACTTTGCATGATTTCAGTGTGTCTGCTCACCTGATCACACTAGAAATGTATAATGGAACTTGAAATTTTAAGCTCTAGTAACCAGCTCAGTGACTTCCAACAATTCTTCCTTTAAGCCATCAAACTACTGAGCAAGGTAATGCATCCACCTTGGAGGCTATTTTCAGGTTCCTAAATGTACACCGATTTCAGCATTTTCTCCAGGAATATGATGCATCCTTACCTCGGCCCCATGTACCCATTTCTGCCTAAATGTCCTCTAATATCTTTTCACAGCATGAGTTAACTATTTCTATTCCACTTCATCTGTTGTGCGGGTTTCACAGCTTTTAAAAAGATCAGAGTAATTTGACATTTCATTAATTGGGCTAATAAAGGAGTATCAACTCACAAACTGTTGTTTCCAATATATCTCACGTTTAGTGATGCTGTAATTCATACGTTCTTAGAATAAAAATTGGTCTTTAGTTATTTTACGGTTCTAATCTTGGGCTACTTTCAGTTTTTAATACAGTGGCTTCTTACAAGGGCATTACGGTGATTACTCACATAGCAATTTTTAAATTCAGGTTTTCTGCTAAAAGTGTACAGACATATTAAAATTATGTTTCCTGCCTCTCTTATAAAGCCATTTGAGCCCAACTTTTACTTTTCATATGCACTGTCATGGGCTCTCAACAAATGGTATGATTAAATTTAGGTTGATGGTTTCAACAGGGAATATGAGAACTGTAATCCCTTTAGTGGCATGTTTGTGAGAATGTAGTAGCCTGTGTGGCATTAGCATTATCTTATTAGTGAGGGTTTATCATCAGGGATGATATTTATGGTAACATTTGCTAATTTAATTAATCGCTACTGATGCTCCCATAATTTCATTTTCATGGTACTTCTGTGGGATCATAAACAAAAGGTTAAGTGGTGCATCGGGTTAATTTACCGGCCTTTGATGTTTCCGTCTGTGATCTTGCATTCAACACAAAGCATAAATAAGATGCTTCTCATATGGTTACGGTCCAGAAGCATTCCTCTATCCTAGAGTGAACTGCATTTTTAGTTTAATTTTTGTGCTTCTCAAATCCACTTAATCCATAGAACATTACACTGACATGGATCTCTGAGTTTCTGTTTTATGAAAACAAATTAGGTCTGCTCAGGGGGGAAACTGCCATTCTGAGAAGTGATCAGACAAGAACATAACTGAACACCAAGGATAAACTATTTGTTCAATGTTAAACAAATAAATTTCATAAAGTATTTCTCATTTGCAACTCTCTGCAAAAACAAAATAGTTCTATTCTAGGAATAAAAGTCCTTAACAGTAATATTTTAAAAACCATTTTCCAGAATAATCCATGCTGATGTTGAAAATATATTGTTTGCTGCTACATATATATTTTTTAATTACTTGTTGCACACCTTCTGAAGAAGTCACAGCTTAATAATGCTAATGGAGAGCTTTCTACACGATATGGTCAGCTGGTTTGCCTTATTTCTTTTATTCCTGATCCTCCTAAAATGTGCATGCTAGGATGATACAAAGGAGCCTTCTCCAAACAATGAGATCATTTTAAAAACAAAATGCAGGTAGCATGTGTATCTAAATTGGGTTTCTTGGGATCAGTACAATATACCTGGGCTCAGCAGTTGAGACAGCAACATTTAAACTAATTAAAACGTATCATTCCCTGATTAGTCATGCAATTGCGATTTCTAGATATTTAAAGATGTGAGTTTTTTTTTATTCAGTGGCTGATCAAACTTGATATTATTCCCTTTTAATTAATACCTCTAAAAGCAATCCTTCGGCCTGACAGCAATTTCCAGACCTAACCTTTGAGTCAGAATAGAGCCAATTTGAAAATAAATGGATGCCTCATCACTGTCTGCTAAGGGGCTGGTCATAAACCATTTTGTAAAGGTGACAGAATACCTTTATTTGGGCACAGTGAGTCATGCCCTTTTTAGCCATTTACCTATAACTGGCTCACTGCCAGATATAAATGATTTTTATCTTAATATTATTTTTGTGCATAATAACTATAATAAACAACCCTGCCAGTGCCTCCTGGTGGCCATTTTGCTTTTTTTTTTGTTGTTGTTGGGGTTTTTTGCTTTGTTTGGTTTCACCTGTCCTGTGGGTTCCTTGAGCTTTTTTACTTCTCAGTTCCTTTAGAAGTGAGGAGTGGAAGGAAGGGGGGGGGGGGGCAGGTTTTTTTTTTTTTTTTTGCCCTTTCTTATACATTTAGAATATTTGTCTTTCACTTTTGAAAAAACCTCTGATACTGAATAAGGCCTTTAGAATAAATCCTGCCTTAATGCTGCTTAATAGAAACCTGGGTTAGAACCAAAAAGGCCCTGAATTCAAGAGGCAGGTGACCTGAAGCCCAATGAGCCCTTTGTAACATCTAAGTTGGCCACAGCGGGGTTCGCAGGCCAGTCCCTGGGCCACCCGATGAGCAAAACGAAAGCCTGAGAACTCAAACCAGACCGCAGGCTGCGGGTTGCGAGGCCTGGTCCCGGGGCGCGGCTGCTGATTCAGCGCGGGAGCCTCAGATCCCATTACACTCTTGGGTAGTTACAAATACTATTTTCCTCTTCTGACTAAAAAATTAGACACACTTTGGTTTTGCACTGACCGCAAATTTCTCAAGCCAACGGTGAAGCGGCCCCGGCATAAAACTGCCCACCCGTGGCCCTTGAGGCCGAGCCGACCTGCTCAGGAGAGTAAGTCCCAGTCGCCCGGGCGCCGTTCAGAGTCAAGGCCAAGGCCGCTGCCCCTTGAGAAGGCGGGGTTGGGAAGACTCTCCAGCCCGCGGCCTGGGGCCCCCCGGTGGGGAGACCCATCGCCCCAGGGTCGGCTTGGCCTCCCGCCCTCCGGGCCACCTGCCCGAGCGGCCTCCCACCCCGGCCACTGGAGTCTGGGCTCTGTGTTTGGGTGCGTGTTTTACGGAGTACACCCGGGAGCCTCAACTTTTTTCTTTTGTTATCAACACTCTTTACTTCGCCCCCTTCTGCTTCGGCTGAAATCTAAACAGGAGTTTGCGTCCGGAATTTGACTGTATGCTTGTTCCCGAGGCCTGGCGACGGCGAGTCCCCGGTCCCTTCTGGGCTCGGGACGCCCCGTGCTTGAACTCCTCTCGGGTCCCTTTCTCTCCCGAGTCTGTCTCCCTGGCACGCCCATTTCGGGGCTCCACCAGCCCCGCTCTTCCCGGCAACGCCTGAGAGCGACCCAGAGCTGCCGGAGACCCCGCAGCCGGGGCTCACTTCCCGCCCCGGGCCTCCCGGTGCACAGCTGTCCAGGGGGCCGGACTGCGCACGCCCTGCCCTGGGGGGTCGCGTTCGCTGCCCTGGGGGTCGCGCTCCCTGCCCTGGGGGGTCGCGCTCGCCCCGGCTGCACGCAGAGCGCGGGGCCCGGCTCGGGAACCGCCCTCTCCAGGCCTCCGGGCGCCCTCTCTCAGGCTCGCGCCCCCCGCCTCCCCGGGGCGTAGCCGCGTCCCCTCGGCGGCACCCCCGGGAGCCCGGCCCCCACCCCCGTTTCCGGGGTCTCCTCCCCGCCGCCCGCCGCTTCGCGCGCTGCCTCCCCGCCCACCCGGCGGCCCGCGGGCGCTCACCTGGTTGTTTTTGCAGAGATCGGCCCACATGCTGGTGCCGTCGCCCCCGCGCATCAGGACGTGGTAGGTGAAGAAGTAGATGCCCGGGATGGAGCAGGTGAACTTGCCCGTGGTGGGGTCGTAGTGGTTACCGAGGTTGGTGACCACGTCGTCGAACTTGAGCACCTCGTAGCCTTCGTGCTGCCGCTTGAGGCCGGCGTAGAAGGCGATCTTGGGCACCGTGCTGTAGGTGGCGGCGCTGATGGCCCCGGCCGCGTTCAGGCCGGGCGCCCCGGGCGGGCCCGGCAGGCCTTGGCGGCCGGGCTCGCCCTTCTCGCCCGGAGGGCCCGCGGGGCCCGGCGGCCCGGGCTCCCCGGGGGGCCCGCGCGGGCCCGCCTTCCCCGGCCTGCCGGCCTCGCCTTTGGGGCCCTGGATGAAGGTGGGCAGGGACTGCATGAGGCCGCGGTCGGGCGTGGCGGCCGTGCTGGGCGCCTTGGTGCCCCCGTAGGGGTCGCAGACCATGCGGCAGGTGCCCAGCATCTCGTAGTGCGCCGACGTGCCGGCCGAGCTCACCAGCACCGGGATGAGGATGACCAGCAGCAGCACCATCACCACCCCCAGCGCCCCGGCGGCGATCAGGCGCCTCCTGCTGCCCACCAGCCGGCTCAGCGCGGGGCGATCCTCTTGTCTGCTTTTGGACAAAATTTTGAAGGTTGGGCGGGGACCTCCTCAGAGCCGAAAACAACCCCCTGCGAACCCCAACTCCCCTGGGCGGGCGCGCGCCGGCCGCTCCCCGCCGACTTCTGCTCCCCCGGCTGCGGCTGCGGCTGGGGAGGGAGCTCGGACGCCGAGTGACTTGAGCCGAAGTCCCGGGCTGGGGGGTGGGGGCTGGGGGAGGGGTGCGCAGGGCGCCCCCTCGCCTCCCGGGAGCCCCTTCGCACCTGTGGCTGCGCCTCGGGCGCCGGCGCGGCCGCCGGGAGCGCAGAGCGGGCCGCCGCCTCTCGCGCCGGCCGGGCGCCGCTCACACTTTTATGCCGCCGCCGCCGCCGCCGCCCGCGATCGACTTTTCCGTTTTTGCCGACTGCGCCAGTTCGCACCAACTTTCCGTCTGAAGTTGCCTTTTTCTGCCTCCTTCTCCTCCGTCGCCGGCTCGGTCCGCCCTTCCGCTGCCTCCCTCCCGCTCCTTCGCCACCGCCGCGACGGCCCGGAGAGACGCGCGCCCTCCCGCGCGGCGCCGGCCGCAGCAGCTCGGGCCGGCCGCCCCCGGGTGCGCGGAGCGGCGGCGGCCGCGGTCACGGTCACGGTCAGCGCGCCGAGCCGCGGGGCTGCGGCGGAGGAGCCCGCGAGCGGCGGCGGAGCGCTGGAGACGCCGAACGCCGAGTTCTGCCCGGGTACCACCTGCCAGGAGAGGAGGCTGACAAACGCGCGCCGGAGCAATTTATAGGCACCCAAGGCGCAGAGGAAGGGGAGCCGCTTGGCATCTCACTGCAGCATCTGCTCCGCTCATCCCACTCAGAGAGAGTTTGGCATTACTCTGACAATGTGGGATTTTTTTTTTCTCAGCCTCTCTCTCTCTCTCTCTCTCTTTTTTCCCCCCTCTCTGCACATGGATGAACAGTGAGATCGTGAAGACTCCCTTGCCGAGCCCAGGTGATGGCAGCGCCCTCGCTGGACCTACCTGGGTGGAGGGGTAGGGAGACAGATGTGCAATAACCTCGGGGACTCGAAGGTCACACCTAAGCCCTCTCTGTCCCCCGCGGGGAGCTGCGCCACTTGGAGGGGGAGGTGAAGGTTGAAAAGAGGGTGGCTCGGTTGACAATATTTCTCTGCTGGCTCCCCCACAATCAGGACAATCAGGCGGTGCTTCAGGTGTTTTTCAAAATGCCACTTTTATAAGAAGGGCCCTTTAGAATTTTCCAGATGGTTTTTTTTTTTTTTTTAACCTTATGGTTTCCCTCACCAGCCTTCTGAAATGTAATAAGATGGTACCCGGAGAACAAGAAGGTGTGTTGAAAAGCCAGAGGGCTGTTTTGAATGATCATAAATGAACAGGCCCACCACACAGTGGGGTTGGGGGGCGGGGGGAGGCGTCTTTTAACAAATGCAGATCCTGTGTCTTCTGCTTACAGGACTGCAGTTCTAACTCCCTTTCAGGAGATCCTGCCACTGGACCTGAAGTTGCATATACTTGCACTACATGCATGAGAAATAATGACTTGTCATATGTCTTTAAAAGTCTTAAAGCAAGCAGCCTTTACAAAAGTGCTGGGCAAGATCTTTTGCTAAGACATGGCAAGCGTCCTATGTGCTCCATGCACGTCTCCTGCAGGGACACTGAGGCACGGGGAAAAGGAGGAAACATGGGAGCCAGAAGGGTCCCCATTTGCGGTGGGAGAGCAGAAGGAAGAGCCTGTATTTGTAATATTAATGTAAAACACCCAGAGGAGATATTAGGCAAGTGATCCCACTAACAAATACATAAGGCACACAAGAAGGGCCTTAAATAAACAAGTAGAATTGATTTGTAAATCATACTTTTGCATTCAGGAGCAATGGATGTCAATCAAACGCAGATGGCATTTGCTTGTCAATACGGGGATGATGGCCGGGAAGATGGTGACTTATTACTTCGGGGCGAGAATATGAAATGAAGAGCGAGAACACATAACACTACAGCCAGCAAGCAATAACCTCCGTGGGATCTTGTCTGTGGCTTCCATAGCACGAGAGAGTCTCCTTTTCTGTACCTTCTGTCTAACTTCCACTGCACAACCGGTGTAGTTCTTTCTTTCCTTCTCAGTTTCAAAACAAAATAAGGTCAAATGAGCCGGCAGAAGACAACTACGATTCATTGATTCTTTTAAGAGAAATGTCAGTAGCTCTTCAGGTCTTTCCTGGGAGAATCAAGGGCGAGGTGCAGGCCTGCGGGGCCCAGCTCAGCCCACGTCTCCTTGTTTTCTCTCCCGCTGGCTGGGCCGCTGCTCTTGTGGGAGTGGGAGTCCTTCCCACTCCTCAAATTTTTAACTTTTATTTTAGGGTAGTGGTTTTAGAATCGTGTGTCTGTGTCTTGGGCATAATTATACATGTCTTTCAGAATACTTTTACTCACATGAGGTACCTTATTTTCATATACTTGAGCAGCAGACACATAACAAATTCTCCCCTGGCCACAAGGTCTATTTTCCTAACACACCATCTGGGTCGCTTCTCAAAAGTCAACTTTCTTTTAGGGGACGAGATAGTCAAGGGTGGTTAACAGCGATGAAGGTGAATGTATTAATCAACCTCTTCGAATGTACCGAGTTATCAGAATTCATAAGACTTCTTTACTGCTACAGAGAGTCCAGTGGGGGATAGAGGGGGAGTTTTTAAAAGGTAGAGTTGAATATATAAATTCTCACTGAAAACCCCAGGATACATGGCGCTTTCCACTGGAGACCGTTCATCTTACAGAGGAACCCAGTGAGGACACTATGAAATGGTAGGTTTGCAAGGGATGTGGGAAAGTGAGTCCATTCCTGCTCACTTTTGCAGACGGTAAGGGCAGGACACAGCTGTGAGCAGAATTGGGGCCGTCCAGTGTGTGTGCTGGTACCCTTTGGTCTACACCGTGCTGACAGATCTATGGTACCGGTCCTGTTAATGGAGGCTTTTCTCTCCTTCCTTTAATGGCAAAGCACAGCTTGGGTTTGTGAGCAAGGGCACCGGTATCTTAATGTTCTGCTGAGGTTTGGGAAGGTGCTCTGTGGTTGTCCTTCTCGAAGAAGGCGGCGTGGACCAGGCCACATGGCTGAGCCGTTTTCCTGCTGAGTGTACAAACCCGGGTGGCCCCTGGACATTTGGCTTTTTAACGACGTACGTTTAAATTATTGGTCTCCTTCCTTTTTTCTAGAAGCGTCCCACCGTGTGCTTTGGGAGAAACTTTTTACTGCCGCTGTTCAGGGCTGACTGGGTAGTAGGTGAACTAATGGCAGCTTGCAGCCACTTTCCACTGCCTGAATTTCTCAGAAGGTTCTCTGGAAAGTTACTCACGCTTCAGCCCTTATTCTGACAGTTTGAATAAGCCAGCTGATATGGCATATTACTCATCATCTCTATATGTATATAATAATAGAAAATGTGTCAATTAAAAAAAAAATATTTGGTTCTCTTCAGTCATCATCCGAGGAGCAAGTGATCTCTCAGATTTGATGTTAATCTTGGAGGTCAGCCCTGGAATCTAATTTTCCTAATCATTTCTCAGGAAACGCAAGGCTCCCTGTTCTCATTCCTTCTGTGCCTGGGTCTTTGTAACTGCTCCGATTCTAAAGTCAAACACAGAAGCCCAAGGTCTGGGTTGGATGATGGTGCTGTGATTTTTGTCTTCCCCACATCATCTCTGTCTCTTTCGGAGAACCAAGCAGATATGAGCACGCGACTCCCACACAGACGTGCGGGGCCATCATTAATCTTTATTGAGCGCCCACTGGCAGCACAGCCTTACACTGGGCTCTTAGAAGGCAAACAAATCTTTAGTCATGAGGATGATTTCCAAATCTAGCCGTACTTAAACAGAAATAGCATTTATAAGAAGAAAATAAAATGAGTTAGCACACCCAAGGACTCTCTACAGAAATAGAGATAAAAAGTATATTTTTAAAAAATCAGACTGGGATCAGCTATTTACCTCTGATTTCTGAGTTTCTGAGTTGTATTTCAGGACACACACTCCTTTGGCTGAAGAATTCTAGATTTCTGACCAGAAAGGATCTGCTTGGAGTGACGGAGGGAAGTAGTAGTATATCCTTATGCCTTTGGAATCAGACGAGTCTTAATTTGGATCTAGTTTCTTATTTAGTAGCTATGAAAGTTACTCAATCTTCCTAAGGCTTAATTCCCTTTTCTCTAAAATGGGACTAACATTAATACCTAAATCACAGGTTGTTAGGAAGACAAAGCAAGTTACTGCATGTAATTATAGTGATACCCATCTCATGATCAGAGCCCAATACATGTCAGTTTTCATGTTCATCTGTTCTAGTACATGGTGCCCATGGGCTGGACGGTAAGACACAGGATTTGTGAAGGAAGCTAAAGGGTCAGTCTTAAGACAAATGGCATTAAATGGATACTAAATATCACAGACTTAGACAAAACTAGATATAACACGCACGTTTTCCAGGAGAGGTGCCTGTGTCGTATTATATAATATGAATGAAGTAAGACAAAACTCAAAACAATGATCGCCTTCACTTGTCTCCAAGGTATAAGAAAAAAAAAAGCTTTTAGAGCAAGATCATTTGAATTCACTGAAGTTTCACACACCAAGGTTGGATTTAAAACCTACTAGGAAGCGTTAAAACGTGCCTCCCCCACCTCTGTCCCTGGAAAGTTCCCCAAGTCAACAAGTTGCAAGTGTGTATCAAAATCATTGAGATAGTTACTCGGGAACTGTTCCTGTGGATGATGATTCTAGAAAAAGTGAACATATATCAGAGAGGACTGCTTTGTTAGCCAGAAGAGTAATCACTCTGAAGGATACCTAAGTCATAACCACATGCAGTAGGGAATTTGCAACAAAAAACTCTCCACGGAGGGTAGCAAGTTGGAAAGCTAGCTAGGAATGTCTATTGTCAGGAAATTATTGAATAGCCAGATGGAAAGTTATTGCATAGGACATTACATAAGACTTGGTACAATGTATGCCTTCAAGTTGGTCTCAAATTCTTGCCCTATCAATCACTACAAGGATGAAATCTCTAGTACGGATATGCTATTTTATACTTGCTTTCCATGGGTGGAATGTTCAGTCCCCGAGACCCTATGTGATGGAGAACTGAAGAGAAAGATACCAAGAACGAAATCTCAGGGGCCAGAAAGTCCTCCCAGGTGATGGTCATGATAACTCAGCCATACAAGGAAGATGGGTGAGTTCAAGAAACGAAAAGCAGCTGCCATTAGACTATAGGACATTTTAAGCAAAGGCTATAATGTGGAAACACCACTGTGAAGCTGTACAGACCACCCAGGTGGGTAGTGATGAGAACTCTGGCAGTCTTATTGTTTTAAAAATCAAAAGCATCACGAATCCTGAGAGAGGTTACAGAGAACCACCAACAGAACCAGACTCTGTCAAGAGCAGCTGATATTCTAGAACCTGGCTCTAAGAGAAATGG